GCATCACATAGAATCTTCATTTTAATCCTTGGTTTCCTCCCGGCCCAAACGAACTTTGAGATTTCTCTTTGCCACAAATTAAATACCTTCACATCTCTCACTATTGGGATTGTCTGAAATAAAAACATCAACCGTGGTAAAATGTTCATTTTAACCACTGAAATTCTCCCCATCAATGACAAATTCAGTGTATTCCATTTCTTGATATCCTGCTGTATTTTAGGCCAAAGTTTGTCGTAATTGTTTTTATAAAGGTCTATATTTTTCATTGTCAAATCAATACCTAAGTATTTAGTCCTTTTCACAACTTCACATTGTGCCAACCCCTGTAGCTCTTTTTGTTTCTTTCCAGTCATATTCTTACACATCACCTTGGATTTATCTTTATTTACATAAAAACCTGCTAAATCTCCAAACTCCTTTATTTTCTCCATTAGCAATGGTAAGTTCCGTATAGGGTCTTTCACCATAAACATTACATCATCCGCAAAAGCTCTATATTTATAAGAAAAACTTTTATTGGTTAAACCTTTGATTTCTCTGTCTTCCCTAATTTTTTTCAGCAGTACTTCGAGTGTCCATATAAATAGTAACGGGGACAAAGGACAGCCTTGCCTCGTCCCCTTCTGTACTTTAAAGTACTCCGTCACTTCAGTGTTAATTACCAATGCTGCTTTCTGTTCCGAGTAAATTGCTTCTATTATGTTCCTAAATTGTTCCCCAATGTCTATTTTTCCATCTGGAGAGCAGTTTTAATACTGAATGATATCCAGCCCTCACTTGGAGACTGGCGACAATGGGTCCCCAGGAGGAGGGTGGAGGCTATAGCACTGTACCTGTCTGAGGTCCCACCCCTCCTCAAACCCCACCCTCTCCAGGCTCCACTCCTCAAATCTCCAGGAATTTCCCAACCTGGAATTGGGCGGTTCCCAGGGGCACTCCAGGCAGAGGAAGCAATGGTCCGTCCCCTCTTGAAAAAACCAATTCTGGATCCGGCTGAATTGACCAACTATCGACCGGTTTCCAATTTGCCCTATCTGGGCAAATTAATTGAGAGGGTGGTGATGATACAGTTGCAGGGCTTCCTGGATGACGCTTCCATTCTAGACCCTTTTCAGTCCAGCTTTCGCCCGGGACATGGAATGGAGACAGCACTGGTCGCCCTTACGGACAACCTCCAGAGGCATCCAGATTGGGGCGGTTCGGCGGCACTGTTGCTGTTAGACCTTTTGGCAGCGTTTGACATGGTCGACCACCAGTTGCTGACCCACCGCCTCACTGACGTGGGGATACAGGGGCTTGCCTTACAATGGCTTGCTTCTTTCCTCCAGGGTCGGGGACAAAGGGTGGTGCTAGGGGAACAGCAGTCCCAGAGACATCCGCTTGAGTGCGGTGTGCCTCAGGGGGCGGCGTTTTCCCCATTATTGTTTAACATCTACATGCGCCCCCTTGCCCAGATTATTCAGAGGTATGGGCTGGGGTGTCACAAGTACGCAGATGACACCCAGCTCTATCTGATGTTGGGCGGCTGGTTGAACTCCAGCCCGGAAGATCTGAACCGGGCATTGCAAACCATGGCTGGTTGGCTCAGACTGATCTGGCTGAAACTTAACCTGGCGAAGATGGAGGCCTGTCCCTGAGTCGGGATGGTTTGGGAACGGGGATCCCTCCCCCATTGGAGGAGTTTGGGAGTGCTCCTGGATCCCTCCTTAACTATGGAGGCCCAGGTGGCAGCTGCTGCTAAGTCGGCCTTTTACCACCTCTGGCTGATTTGGCAGTTGGTTCCCTTCCTTGACCGCGATGACCTGGCTACAGTGATCCACGCGATGGTCACCTCAAGATTGGACTACTGTAACGCTCTCTACATGCAGCTGCCCTTGTCGCAAATCCGGAAGCTGCAGCTAGTGCAGAATGCAGCGGCCAGGCTTTTGATGGGTCTCCCTAGATGGGAACACATCTGGCCTGCGCTGAATACACTGCACTGGCTGCCAATAGCATACCGAGTTCGCTTCAAGGTGCTGGTACTTACCTTTAAAGCCCTTTATGGCCAGGGTCTGACATACCTGAGGGACCGCCTTTCCCCACACATACCCCAGAGAGCACTACGGTCTGGGGCACAACACCGGCTAGTGATTCCAGGCCCCAAAGAGGCCAGGCTCACTGCTACCACGGCTATGGCTTTTTCGGTGGCGGCTCCTCCCTGGTGGAATGAGTTCCCGAAGGAGATCAGGGCCCTGTGGGACCTTGTACAGTTCCGCAGGGCCTGCAAGACGGAGCTCTTCCGCCAGGCTTTTAGTTAGGAGCCACCCACCACTACCACCAACTATTATTGTTAGTAACACCAGGGTAGCTGGTTGACCCATATGGAGATCGAGCCACAGTAATGTACGAGACAGATACGGCTGAATTGCGACTCGTGTCCATCTACAGGATGCCATCTTCAATGTGTTTGGAAGATCATTTCTATGTTTAGCTCTTTAATTGTAATGATATGGTTGTTTTATTTTGTTTTATCTGGTTTTATAGGTTTTATGTACTCTGGCACATAGTGTCTTTAAATGTAAGCTGCCCAGAGCCCGTTCGTGGGGAGGATGGGATAGAAACCCAATAAATAAATAACCCTATCTCCTTCCCAGCCAACCATCAATGTACCATTATCTACCCCTCTGACTTAAGCTTTCCATGTCCCCCCCACCTGCAGCCTCTACCTAAGAAAAGTACAGTCTTTCTCTGCAGTGGGGACCCAAGCAGGAGGGAAGTGACCTCAGCAGGTATAATGACAGCACAGCTCACCCAGCAAAGCAGCCATTTTCTCCAGGGGAACTGATCTTTGCCATCTGGAGTGCAATTTTGAGTGATCTCCAGCTCTCACCTGAAGATTGGCAGCAATGGTTCCCCAGGAGAAAATAATTGCTTTGGAAGGTGGACTCTATGGCATTCTATTCAGCTGAGGCCTCTCCCTTCCCCAAACTCTGGCTTCTGTAAACTCCACCACAAAATGTCCAGGAATTTCCCAACCTAGAGCTGGCAACATTAGTCAGGACTGGCCCCAATGAGTTCCTCACGAAGGCCTGGAAAGGGCCTCTTGCATTTGCCTTTTTACTGAAAGAACCAAACTTGGTTACCTAACAACAGCCACTGAGGGAAAAGTTAGTCCCACAGGAGCCAAGCAGGAGAAGTGTCTTCGTCAGGAGAGCACACTGTTTTGCCACTTTATTCTGTCAGGGAAGAGTGTCCAGGCTGGCAGTGGGCGTGGGAGAAAAGCATACCCAGCACCCAGCCAATGGCACGTGAGTACTCTTGAGTGGCGGTTGATGGGTCAATGGCCCACAGCGCACCCAAAGAGAGAGCTGGGAAGTGCCAATACGTAGGACCCCCTCTGACCAGGCAGAAGACTCACGTGATCCACCCTTCTGTTTCTTTCCCCTCTTTCCAAAACTACAAGGAGAAGACATGTTTGTTCCTGGGGCTCTGATGCTGTTACCACTACCCGGGGGAGGGGGGGACTGGGCATCTCCCAGACTTAGTGGCGTGGGGCCACCACCAGGCCAGGCATTATGGCAGGGTGATGAGCACTGAGTTGGGCCAGATTAGAGGGGTGCCCACTGACTGGCCAGGAATCAGAGTGGCCACTGCTTGGCTGGGCCTGGTCAAGTGGCCATTGCTGATACTGGGTCTGGCGGAGTGGCCACCACCAACACTGGGTCAGGCCTTGCTCAAGTGGCCAGAACCTTTATCTTACTGTAAAGTATCTTCATTCCTCTCAAGGAACTCGCATTCGATACCAAGAGTAGACCCAGAACACTTTTTCCATTCCCAGGAATGGTCATTCCACTCAGGGAATAGTCATTCCAGAGCCAGAACCATTTTTCTATTAACAAGAAACACCATTCTGCTCCTGGGTGTCATTCTAGGCCCAGAATACTAATGGAAATGATAAAAAAATTCCCATGGGGTTGCCAAGCTGCAGCTCGCAACGGGCAGAAGAATTCAGTCAGTGGGAACTGCACACCAGCATTATGCCAGCACATTTGCTCTTACCAGAAGAGACATGAACATGTTGGCTCAGTGCTGGCTCGTGCCTTTATTTCCCTTCTTTCCCATTTCCTCCTGCTGATGCTTTAGGCACCAGTGGGCAACAATCTGGGCTGTCTTCCGAGGACTGTCATTCCGCTCCAGTCATAGCATTTTTTCTACTCAGGGAGAGTCATTTGAGATCTAGAGCACCTACTCTTCAGCAGGGCTATTTTTGGGCAGGAAGGCACAGGCTGGCTTCCAAGTTGGCCACGCCCAGCAGGAACTCATTAGCATAATAGGCCACACCCAACATCAGAAACTCATTAGGATTGGCTACATTAGGGGTATGTGGCCTAAAATGCAAAGGAGTTCCTGCTACGAAAAAGCCCTGGGTTTTGACAACAAACAAGGTAAGCAGAATAAGAAGCAAAAGGTGGGTGTGGCTGGATTAGCACACTTCTGGTAACATGGGGGTGTGGCCTAATATGCCCATGAGCTGTGCTGTCAGGGTTGTGGCCCAATATGCCAATGAGTTTCTGCTGTTGGGTGTGACCTTTTAATCTAATGAGTTCAAAAGCCCTGTTCTTCAGGGAGAGACCCATGTCTGACCAATTCATTTGTTTCCCTAGATCTGTCCCCCCCCTTTTTTTTTTTTGCAATTCTGCAGTATTTTAATCGAACCCATGCAAGTCAACTGCCATTTGCGACATTTTTTATATACCCAAGGCAAGGGGCCTTCGGGCAGCTCCCATTATTTTCAAAGGGAATTAGTTTTCAAAGGGCATTCGCCGCCGCCCCCTTCCTCTCAAACAACCCCTCGCAGTAATTGCGCTGCAGAGCGCCGGGACGCTCCCGCGGCTGGCCACCAGACGGCAGTCCGGCCCACAGAGCGCTTCCGCCTCCTCCATCCATCGAGTTGTCTCAGCGACCCCACGCAAGCCATTGGGGGCTTTCCTATCGGAGGCGGTGCTACGAGCATGCCAGTCACGGTGACGGACAGGGCGCGGAGGCGAGGAGGCGTTCCACAAGAGCGAGCAGGCAGTAAGGCGTCAGCCTGCTAGATTGTCGATTGGGCTGGAGACGCGGGCCGGTTTCTCGGTCTGGGCAGCCCGAGCGAGTTATGGGGGCGCAGCTGAGCACCGTAAGTTCCTCCGGGGCGAGCGAGCGGCGGGGCGAAAAGGCTTGGTACGGAGGAGGAGGTGTTTTGCCCTCGCCCCAGCCTGGCTGAGCGGGCGTGTCGGCCTGCGATGCGCAGGCTCCCTTTCCCAGCAACGACGCGCGACTTGCTGGCATGTGTGTATGAGCGTTTGGGCTCGCGAGTTTAAGAACGCCTCCGACTGATCTGCTTTCCCAGCCTTGCAGGCGGGAAGTGAGGGAGGAGACGCCTGGGTGTGCCAGCCAGGGCAGAGGGCGTGAGACACTGGCTCTTTGGCAGGCTGGGGAGGAGGGCACTCCGCCATGGCAGGGCATGGTCTTCGCTGGGCAGGAGCGTTTCCGTTGGCATGATGGGACTTCTCCACGGAGGACGTGGCTGCCGAGACGCCACGGTGTGAGGGGTTGTGGGCGCTGGGAAGGGGAGACGCCCTGTCAGGCTAAGGCCTCTGCCGCACTTCTGAGCCAGCGTTGGCCTGCGGGCTCGGACAGAGGCCACACACACACCCCCCCGAAGTCGTGGAGGGCTGCCGTGCGCTCCTTCTCACGGACCGCACTCAGCCCCGGCTGGCATAGGGCGAAGCTTAGGGTTGCCAGTCTCCTGAAATTACAGGAGCTCTCCTGAAATTACAACTGACCCCCAGCCAGCAGAGATCAGTTCCCTGGAGAAAATGGCTGCGTTGGACGGCGGACTCTATGGTATTATAACTCGCTGAGGCCTCTTCCCTTCCCCAAACCCTTTTCTTTCTGGTCCCCACTGTGTGGGAGCTCCTCCTTGCTGCCCTGGACATTGTGGAGCTGGTGAAGAAAGGTGTAGGTGTAGCTATGCACCTTCTTTTTAGGTGTACTGAGTCTGGGAGAATAGAATGCAAAGCTCGTCCCCCTCTGTACCCATGCTCCTGTATCAGGTCCTGGCTGGCAAGGCATCGCTGTGCTCATCTTCTCCGGCTGCCTGTGGCCTATTCAGAGGGCTGGTGAAGTCAATGGCCAGTCTGCCCTTGTTCTGCAGGCAGAAACAACCCAAGAGGCTTCTGTGTGGTGCCTTCCTGTTCAGAGTCCATGGAGAGGACTGCAGCAGGTGGCACCCTGGGCTTCCCTCTCAGTGCTGAACTTTGCCACTGAAGGTCCAGGAATAGTCCCCTCTACCACCACCACCACCACAGGGCTCTGTCATCTTATTTTCCTTCATGTGTGAATGAAACCTGAATGCCTTAACCTTAACCTGAATGCCTTGGGCTGTAAACTTGCCTTTGGCATACTCCTAGAGAACTTTGAAATTTTGCTTCTTGTAACAAACATCCATGTTCCTCTGGAAATACAGTTTTACCAGAGGAATGTAGGCCCCATTCATACCGCGAATGTGCCGCAGGAGAGCCACGGGTGGTGGGAGGATTATCCGTGCGAGATCACACCCCAACATCTGGGGAGTGGAGCGCACCCATGGCCAACCCGTGACTTACCGCCGAAAACGCGAGATAAAAAAGTAGTGCCTCCAAAGTACTGGCAAACGGTTTGCCACGGGATGTCTCCGGATGTCTACGGTGTGATCGCGCTGGTACGCGGCTTTCCCCTCCGGCCCCTCGTTTACGGGCCAGCTCCGAGGGAAGGGCCCGTGGTGTGCCGCAGGCGCGTCTGATCGTATAATCGCGGATCAAACTGCCGGGGCAATTTGCCATGCCTCCCCCCTGCGATATCTGGCCCCCCTGCGATATCTGGCCACAGTACTCCTGATTGCCTTAAACAAAACACGCGGCGGCATATAAAGGAGACATGAATGTCCTCTGGAGGTCTGTGATGGCTCCTTGGCAGAGGAGGAACAAGTACATGCGAACCTAACTTAAGAGAACTTCACAAGCAAGAGGGGGATGAACTGCTTTCCACACAAAAACCCCACCCTCCAGGCATAACTGTAGCATGGTTCATGGATAACCAAAACCAGGGGTCATTTCCTGCAGCAGCGGAGCTCCCCCGGGCCCCTGGTCCAAAACAGTGGCACCTTTAAGACCAAGTTTTATTCAGGTACAAGCTCTCCCTCCTCTGCGAGGACAGATCTGCATGTCCCCCCCCCCCAATAGCTAGCAAAACAGTCCAGTGGAGCCTGAGCGGTGGGTGTTGCGTTCTGACACACTTCCGGTGATGTCAGGGTGTGTGGCATATGCAAATAAGTTATGCTAATGAGTCCCTGCACCTCTTTTTCTATGAAATGACCCCTGACCAAAACTGAGCAGGAGACAGATAAAGAAGATAAACATATTTCTTTTCTTTTCTGATATACTAACAAGCTAAGTCAGAACAATATGATAAAAAATGTTTTGCAGTTTTATTTAAAGCTGTTTAAGCTTCTCCATCCCTCTGGGTTGCAAGTCTTGATATATTCCTGCCTCTGGACTTTGCATCTTCAAGTCTACCAGACCTTTGGGTGTCCATTCTCCCTTGCTGACCTTAGCACACTGAATGCTGTATGTAAAAATAATCTTATCGCATTGAAAGAAAGTCTGTGTTGGAGGTATGTTGCTTAAGCCCATCTTATAAAAAGCAAAGCAGAATAAATAGATCATTTGTGCAGACTTGGTATGAGCAAAATTTATCCATGGCTGAAGTAAATGGATCAGATTGCATTAATTTTAGGACATTTGTGTGACTCTGTCTAATCCTTCTTTCATGTGACAGACCGTGCTTGGCACTGTTTGTTCCTGGCAGACCTCACCATCTTCCCACTACCCTCCCTTGAGCAAGCCTTTCAGTGTGCTCCAGAATACATTCTCTCCAAGTTCTAATTCTGTATTGGCTGTCTGCCTCCGACCACACCCTAAAGCCAGAGCTGAGAGTCCTCACTAATGCCCTGGTTTAGTGGTGAATAGAATGTTTCTTGCTTTGTATTCTTTTCCCTAAGAAGGAAACTTTAATTTTCACCACTCGGGGGAGGGGGGGCTTGTTGGATTTTTGTCCTGACAGGCAGCAACATGGACCCAGAATGTGTAACTGTCAGGTGAAGATCTTTCACATTCTGACAAATCAGGGAATTTCTGTGGTTGTCCTGCCTTATGTAGGTTTTCTGTTGCTACAACCATTTCCTGGCAGGGAGCAACTGTTTCCTAGTAACTAAAACTAAGGCTCTTAAATTAACTGAACATGTAAATAGGACATGTTCACTCTTCGCTTGTGAAACGTGTCTGTGTATCTATATGTATTTTAAAGTGTTCATCACTTTGTCACTTGATACCGAAGAGAGAGGATTTTGAGACAAGTTAGAAACAACACAGTGTATTGCTTACAGGCAATGTGTTTGGCAGACTCCCAGTTGGGACCAGGTATCTGAAACTGTTCTGTATTCTGCAGCATTTCCAAATATTATTCCAGCATCAGTTCACAGGAGTGTGGCTTCTATAGTGATCCAAACAAATTCAGTAGCAATTCTGAACTTCAATATTACAACACTTCCAGCTGCGTCAATTGGGTGTACCCATATTTTTTAAAAAAAACACTGTCCTTTTAAAAGTAGTTTGAACGAGAATATTTTGGGCAAGTTTTTTTCCCCCTTCGTGTTTTCCCCAACCTTCTAATTTCTCGGAGGGAAAAAATCCCTGGGCCTGCACCTCTCTGAACTGGGTTCTCCCCATTTCAGAGCTTTCTGTTGAGAGAGAAGCATACCTACCATCTAAAATGGCAGTGCTCATTCTTGGGTAGCAGCTAATGGAGAAGTCAGCTATCTATTGCCTAATCACCCCTCCCTCCTTTCCAAGTAGGTGACAGCACACACATGATTCTGCCTTCCCTTATTTTTATTCTTGCTTGAGAGTACATTACTGGCCCCAAGATATCTGGTGATCTTCATGGCCAAGTAGAATGTTGAGTCCTAATCAGATTCTCTAGTCTTAAGCAATACTCTAACCACTAGGCTACCCTTCCTCTCTCACCTTCTAACCCAGGAACTCTTTCAGCGCTCTTGGGTGGCTGACTACACTTCCTTTTTCTCTGTTCCCTGTGCAGAGGGATTACACAGGGATGCGTACTGGTGCCCAAGTGATGGGTGGTCCCAGCTCTTGTTTTTTCTTCTTGGTCGAAGACTGGGAAGCAAAGACAGAGCTGCAAGAGCTTTTGGCACTGTGCTGTGTAGCTTGCAGTGCTAATGTCACAGTCTAGCTGTGGAAAGAATTAGTATGTTTAAAACAAGAGGGGGGAAATGTGCTTTGATAGCTTGTGTACGGGGGGTAGCATTCTATACCTTGCTGTTTTATGGGGAATACTTTATGGTATAGGATTTTGATATTTAATTGGGTTCAAATAGGTTGTAGCATAGTGTATAATGGAAAAAATGTGAAGCAACAGACTATTGATTAGCATAGGGGAAGTTGATTGAAATGCGGTGGCATTTAAATTTCAGGAGAGACAGTACTGATATTCTTGTACTGGTTTCTAGTAAAACGCTTCTTCATACTGTTCTTGATTTTGCCCTTTGTGAACTCCTTAAAACTTGGCTCATATGATTTTATTTATTCAGAATATTTATACTCTGTCTTATTTCTTTAGACACAAGGTACCTAACAGTACAGCAACAGGCTGCAAGGACACAAGAACAAGTCCATTAGCAAATTAAGCATGCACAAGTTTTGCTGAAGTTAGGTTTGTTTAGAAATTTTTAATTATGTAAACAAAATCTAAAACATACTGATTTCCTTCATTACAATACATAATTACACCCATCATTCCAATGCTTATTTAAACTGATCTATGAATACTTTCTCCACTGCTGTCAACACTAAATATCTAAAAATGTATATACCGCCTCTCCAGAGACTTAACATTAAACTAAACATTAAACTTAACATTAAAAGTAATTTAAAAGTCTAAATTGATACAAAAATTAGAAGTAACCCACCAGAAATAAAACCAGCAGTACCTCAGTGCCCTTTACGTCCAGCTTTCTTCAATTCTTTTGTGTGGGGATGAGGGATTCATCTTTTCCTGAGTGCACATGCACATAAATGC